TCTACTATCAGTAATATTATCAGAAAAATAGAAACCAAATGCTTGTAGACGATAATTACAAGTAATGACAATAACACCTTGATTGAGTCCAACAAGACGGCTACAATTCAGTAATGGTACTCCTGCAGCACCTTCAACAAAGGAACCACCGTTAAAATGAACCATAACTGGTAGATTAGCATTGCTTGCTGTTTGTGGAGGTCGACAAAGATTTAATGTAAAACAACATTCATGACAATCTACTGGGCAAGCACTTGGATATGATGTACAATTTTGCATACAACCTGGTGCTGGAGTTATCGCATAAAATGTTTGATTCGATGGTTGAACATCTTCTACTGGCGCAAATCGTTTAGGACATTTCCCATATTCGATTCCTAAGAACTCATCGGCATATGAATTTGATGAACCTATTACTTGTCCTTGATCGATTTGTACAGGATCTGTAAAATTAGATTTTATACCAATAATACAAATAAATCCGAGTAATAATAATTGTTTTATCATTATTAACAATCCTCTTCAAAAAATGTTTGTATACTTTATATTATTTAAAGAAATATTTTCTTCTAGCTTTCATTTAATATTCTTCTGTTTTTATACCTCGATAATATTTTTATTATTCACTGTAGCATATGCTTTATTGTCATTGGGCCATATAAAGAAAAGCATGCATTGAAACGCCTATATTTTGAATATATAAATAGGTATTAGTAATCATGTATTTTTTTCTACTGTGGAAATCTTATAGATCATTTTTTTTATATGTAAATGAGTATAAATATATAGGTAAAAATAAACCATAATCTGCGTCATACATATTACTGTATAGTTTTGATTATCATATTTTGAATGAAATATTATAAACGTGGAAAAACAATAGAATATGATTTATTACATTTGACAGTGTTTGCAAGGTATTATATCGCTTATATATAACACAATATCAATAGATATAAACCAAATATGTTTTTTATCAAAGTTCGTGTGTCAACTAAACATATATAATATCATATGTTGCTTTTAATCATTTATAGGATATCAAAAATAAATTTTTTTCATTTGCATCTTCAACATGTTAATATTACAATTGATCAGAAGTTTTTTTTATGAATATAACAATAACATAATATGATTTAAAACTATACATAACTCATTGTGTTTCGAAATAATCTCTTAATAAGACTAACATATAACTTGCTTACATGATTTTGATTGATAGTTAGGTTATATGGAGTATTATGATAAATTTTATATCTTAGATATTTTACTTGTGACCTATTAGTATTTGTAATCATGATAATTTTGCGTGCGTCTGTATACTGTAATATATTTCAATGTTTTCATGTACTTTTAAAACTTATATGTATATTTTTGATGTACTCGAAGAAAAATACATATTTACTTACAAAATGCAATATTCTCATAATCTTTTGTTGATTTTCTTATTTATGTATTTCTTGTATATAAATATGTCACAAACATTAGTTACCATATTACTCTCATGTTTCGTCTTATCAACTTAATTCTTTTCGTTTTCTTATTTGCTAATGTTTTTAGCTGGAATCCATCAAATTATTCATATGATCCAGGTAGTAATTATCATCTTGTTTGGCAAGATGATTTTGAAAATGTAGGTCCTATTAAAGCAACAATCAATGGAGCTCCAGCTTATGCACCTAATCCATCAAATTGGATTTTAAAAACTGGTAATATAAATGGTGGATTACAGAATTATACAGATTCAATCGAAAATGCATATATACAAAATGATGAATTAACAATTGTAGCATATAAAGAAGGATATACATCAGCTATGTTATCAAGTGCTTATCTTCAACAATTTACTTTTGGAAAATTTGCAGCTAAAATTCGTTTACCTTATGGACAAGGTTTATGGCCAGCTTGGTGGTTAGTTGGTAATGCTTGGGATAAATATAAACTTTATTGGCCAACAGTTGGTGAAATTGATATTTTAGAAATGATTGGAGGACGTCAATGGGGTAATCCAAATGATAAAATTGCATATGGAGCAATACACTGGAATAATGCATCAAATTCAATGACACCATTGAATCATGCTCAGAATCAGACAAAATGGCAGACACCAGATGGTTCATTACTACATGACAATAGTTTAGTTTATTGGACTGAATGGACTCCAACAAATATAAGTATTGGTGTTAATGAATTTATATATTTTCAATTTAATACAACGAATATTTCTGGATCTATCAATCCAGTTGATGCTTGGAGTGGAAAATGGCCTTTCTATATGATTCTTAATATAGCAATTGGTGGTTCATGGCCTGGATCACCTGATAATACAACTGTATGGCCACAAAAAATGATTGTCGATTGGGTTAGAGTTTATCAACAATAATTTATTATTTTTATCAAAGAACAGTATATATTTATATAAATGATGAAGGTCTTCATGACTATTTTGTATAAAAACTGTCATACTTTTAATAAAAATAAAATAAAGTTATAAAACATCTGCTATCTATCAGTTTGATTCACATATTTAGACTTTTAACAAAGCGTAGACGTTCATCGTTCTCTATTGCTTATTTTTATATAAGAAGAATAAGATATTTACTTTTGATACTCTTTCAGCTTCTTTTTATTATTATAAAAGTATTACATTACAATATATAAGTGAGTCATTACATCTGCGTAATTGCTAAATACTATTTTAAATCAACACAAAGAACTTTAAGAAAGTAAAGTATTAACAAAAGACAACAAAATGTGTCACTAACAATGCAAATTTTATTGCTTTCTTTTCTTCTTATTCTTCTTTTGTTTGTTAGCAACAGATGAAGTTAGTAAATATCTCGACAGTAAAAGAAAGATATGACTCGTAAACTTAATGTTACTCATATATAAAAGAAAAAAAATCCTTGATTAAATGACTCTTTTTTTTTCTCTTCTAGTAGCTTTTACTTTTTTTCAACTTCACACTTTTCGTAAATTATAAAACAAAAATGTCAACGAACAATCAACAACATGATATACGAGCAGGTCTTTCATTATTAGTACATCAACCAAGTTTGGAACAGGATCATGAAGAAAAATCACAAAATTCACCAATAACTAAAAAAGATTCAACAAAATCAGACAATACATCAAACGCTAAACCATTTGGTTCTAATAAGTTTGTATTTTTTTAATTTATATTCAATTCATTTATTATTTATATTAGATTCTTCATGCCAATCAAGAAATAATTGTCTTATAAATATATATCGAATTTCAAAATATAATCCGGCATTATTAGTGTATTATTTTTCAAAGAACAGATAATTTATGGCATAAGATTTATTATTTTATATTCGAAAAACGAAGTAAATTAATTGTGTTTGAAATACTTTCTTTTGATAAATAAATTATGGGATTATTATCGCTATAAGATAATAAGTTTTACATAAAATTGGAAATAAATTCATAGTCTTCAATTTATCTTTTGCTCAAGACATCGTTAAGCTAAGTACAGAATGCTTGTGAGAGAGTAGCATCTTCTAAAGATTGAACTTCATAAGACTTCTTTTTGTCGGAACATCTCAAAACAATAGTTGAAAATCTAAATGATTTGATGAGTAGAATAATTTGAAAAATCAAATTAATTAAAAAAAAAACTGTAGAATGTCAACATTTTTGTATCGATGTCAAAAATAATCATTTTGAGTAGTATTTATAAACTTGACTCATATGAAAAAACACCTACTATTCTCTTCTATAGAATAAAAATAAATTATTAATATTACTTTACTAATAAGGAGGAAAAATTAATTTCCTAAGTGATCGTGACTTGTGTGACACCCTGTTCGACATGGTTTCTAAAACAATAATGACGATAATTTATTCTTTAGTGTACCTATCTTTCTTTATTTGCTTTAAAATGCTTCAATGATAAGAGTCTTTGATTTATCGCATGTAGATCTATCTTTCAGGAGTAATCGAATTTCTTTTCTTCTTCATTCGCGTTCATATTCGAGAGAAAAATTTACATGAGATTTTAATTCATTATCAGCGTTGATGTAAGGTTTATTCTTAATAAAGAAAACGTGAGTTCATACATCTAAAATTGCCTATTTAATAATCTTCCATTGAACTTATAAGTAAATAAAATAATTGAGTTGTATTATGTCAGTATTATCCTTTTACGTCCTGTAAATTTTTTTGTATGAGAATCACCTTTTTAATGTATGATCTAGTGAAATCGATCAAAAACTGAGTCATCATTTGAATCTATGAAAACATATTCTGAATATAATTTGTGTAAGTTTATTAAGTACACAAACAAAGAATAGCAATAGAAAATTCTAGATTCTTTACTATTTTGAATATGCTTAGAAGTATCTGTCGTAAGATCCTATTTCCTTTATTTTACTGAGAAGTTACAAACGTTTTTCATAGTAATTTGAAAATATAATTATTGTTGAGAATTATAAGAAGTTTCTATATAAGATCTTATATTACTGATATTTTAATTACAATAGGCAAAATTTCTAATTTTCAATTAAATTGTTGAACACATTAACAGAAATTTTAAACTAAGAAGCCTTTATTTTATTATCTAAAGTCTCTCTGTAAGTAAGAGAGACCAGCCAAAAATTGCATCAATACTGAGGTTATATTAACGCGATATGTATAATTTGTCAGCAAACTGCCCTCACTAAACGTTCATTGAACAGTCATGCTCCCCGAAGACAAGGACTAAAGAAAATTTATTTCTTATCAAAATCGTTTATATAATTAACTGTTTTGCAAAATACCAAAATGATTGTCTATTAACGTTTTCTGACTAGATTTAAGTGACATCTGGTGAATTAAAAGTCGAAAATAATTTTTATTTTATCATAATAAATAATAAGTAAGCGAAAGCACAAAGGTCTGCATTAACAATAAATAAGATTAGACGAGAATTTAATTTACTGTTCAACATCATCACGATTCCATGATTGTTCTTCACCATCAAAAAAAATACAATATACAATACAACCAAAAAGACAAATACCAGATGATGTATTAAAAATTAATTTCCATGCAGATAATGTTTGATTTTGATTAGTTATCCATCCAACAAATATAGGTCCAACAAATCCAGGTATTGCAGCTAACATATTTGTAATTCCCATTAATGTACCTGCATAATTACTTGCAATATCTAAGTGAGAGATAAGACTACCAGATCCTTGAAATCCAATGAATGCAACAGAGAGAGTTATAAATATAACAGCTAAAACATGATTACATTCAACAAAACCAACTAAAACAAGAAATAATGATGTTCCACAAGCGCCAATAATTGTTTGCCATCGTCGTGTCGCTGTTGTTGATAAGATTTGTTTTGCACGTATTCGATCAGCTATTTGTCCTGAGATTATTGTAAAAATAAGTTGAAATAAATAAGGTATAGCAAACATAATTCCATTTTGTTGTAAATTAAATCGAAGAATTGTTGAAAAATATGTTGGTAATGATGTAAGTAATATATAAAA